GCGCATTGCTACAGCTGGGTTTGGGCCTTCTGTCACTTGGTGCCGTGGTTCTCCTCCAATGATACTGTCATTTTATGTAGGTTTCCTCTGTGTTGACAATGGTGTTTCATCACCCTTCTCATTTAACAAGCCCCACTTTGCAGGAGGAGCAAGTTTGCAGCCCAAGGATGAAATGAGAAGCGTGGTTTGGACACGTGTTACATCCAGGATATTATCTAGTCAGAGTTATGCATTCTCCTTATTGCACCTACATTAGCTGGTTGGGAAACACTAAGTGATTTCGTGCCTGTTACAGCTTTGTATGCAGGAACCCTCCTATAGTCCACACTGGGCTTAAACTCACTCACTATACAGCCAAGGCTGGTCTTGAACTTCTGCACCTTACCTCTAACTCCCAAGTGCTAGGATTACAGGTGTTCACTACCACACCAGGCAGTTAGACATTACAACAAGAAATGCATTTTTGAGCTAAGAGGACAACCTGAAGGGTCAGCTCTCTCTGCTTTCACTATGTGGGTCCCAGGGACTGAACTCTGGCTTGGTGACAAGTGTCTTAACCCACTGAGCCATCTTGCCAGCCAAGCTACAAGCTCTTAAAGATTCACTTTATTTTGAGACCTGTGCTATTATGTAGCCCAGGTTGGCTTTAAACTCATGGCAATCCTCCTGCTTCACTTTTCTGAACCTGGGTTTGGCAAATTTATGGCTAATGATGCACATCTAATCTACCTTCCATAATTGCAAGGCCTGTAAGTTAAAAAGATAAGATATCCAAGTCCCCTCACAACAGAATTTTTGTACTTCAAAATGGTTTACAAAAATATCAAAGTATATTTTATAACAACTGTGTGAAATTTATGTTTTTATGATAATTAAATTCTATTGGAACATAAGGACCCTCAAGAATAGACAGGCTGTTTTTTGGTGTGACATCAGAGGCAGCTATAACACTGTAGTCCACAAAGCCTAAATATTTTCTACCTGGCCCTTCATGGGAAGTGTTTGATGATTAGTTTAAACACCAATAAATAACCATTTTCCTTCTTTTTATAAGATTCCGGTCAGAGAAACCAATTTGCTGAGGAGGGAAGCCATTCACAATTCTTGTCATTTGAAAGAGTATAATTAGTAATACATATTAATTACATAAACTAATGGGACTTGCGGTAGGATATGCATGCCTGAATACTGAGTTCATCATGTCCGCCCACCTTCCTTCTGCTCGCATACCCTTCCTGGTACCCAGCTATCCTCCTATTTCCAGGTCATCTTTTTATTTATTTTTATTAACCAATGGAGAGTGGTTTGGCTCAAAATGACATAAGTGCCAAGGTTGAGGAACCCCAGGCTAGAGCTGCAGCATTGTGTTCAGCTTTATTCTTTACGAGCTAGGCAAGGATGGGAATTGCTTAATCCCGGTTATTTCCATGGCACTAAAAAACAGCCTTCCCCACAGAGCACCTGTGGGAGCTAGATCTTCACCCAAAGCACTAAGACTAGAGATAGCCATGAAAAGCACCTGAAAAATGTAATGATTACTATGATTTTATTTTTTGTTAGATACATCCAATTGAAGTTGGAAAGAGGGGATGTAAATGTGGAAAAATTGCTATTCCTATGGTTTGGAGGTTGATTTACTGAAAGCCTTAGCAGGCTATAGGACCTTTAAGTTTAAGGCTCAGTGAAGGTGATAAGCCATCGGAGCTGCTCTCCACAGGCCCTCATGCTGGACTTACAGAGTGGACTGTTGTGAAGGAGCCAGCCTGACCCCAACCTCTCTTGTCTGTCTGTCTGTCTGTCTGTGTCCTGCCATTGAGATGCTTGTTCCATGAAGCCCTTGCAAGAGCTGAACTGATGGGGCTATCCAATCATATTTTCAGCTTCCATACTGTAGCTTAAAGTATAAAGTACACAGCCTTAAGCATTTTGCTACAGTGAAAGAATATAGTCTGTTATGTTACAAGAAAATATGCATGTTTATTGAAGTACTATTTAGAATAGCCAAGTTAGGCAATCAGCTGGGTGCTCATTCAGAGAGAGACAGATAAGTAAGTGTGGTATAGACACATAATGGGGTTTTAGTAAGCCATAAAAAGAATGAAATTATGTAATTAATAGAGAAATGGATGGAACAGAAGATCATCAGCACATAACCATGTTCTCTCAAGAGTGGACTCTAGGTCATATATAGATGTATATGTGTAAACATGTATATTTGTGGTTGTATGTTACATATGATATGGAAGTAGAGGACTAGTTGGAGGGGAGGAGAGAAGAGGGAATAAATATGGCCAAAATATACCAAACAGCAAGTGAAAATACCTTTACAAAACAACAAGTAAACTCTAGTCAAATACACACACACACACACACACACACACACACACACACACACACACACACTAAATCAAGCTAGACGGTTCAGTGCATAAAGGTACGTGCTGTCAAGTTTGATGACCTGAGTTTGATCCCTAGAATCTGCACAATGTAATGAGAGAGCAATCTCACAAACTACCCTCTGATGTCCACATGCACACTGAGGCAATGCATGCCAATGTCTATACCCTCCCCATCCCGCCCCCACAAAAACAAAAATATAAAGCTCCATTTTGAAAAGAAATTGCGAAGGAATATCTAAAATTCATTTATAAACAAAATTGATCAGCTTCTCTAAATTTTAGTAAACTTAATGTAGATTATTCATACACATTCATTGTACTATAGACTGCTTTCCTCCTAATTAAAATCCAGATTAGAAAATAATGTCAATAAAGGTATGACTATAAAGAGGTTGGTTGAGCCAAGTCCTTGTAATTGAAGCACTTGGGAAGATGAGGAAGGAGAATTGCCCAGAGTTTGAGGCTGGTCTGGACTACCAAGTGATCTCCACTGATCCTGGGCTACAGAATGACTTTAAAAATTAAAAAACAAATTATAACAAAAAAATGCAAAAACATAGACTGAAGTAATGGTGTTGATAATTGCTAATATTAGGACAGTTATATACAATTAACAAACTTTACCACACTCATTCAGAAAATAACTTTATGACAATCCTATGCAGCATGTTTTACAAATGAATTTTAGACTTAAAGAGATGATAATGACTTGTTTAAAATGATGCCATTACTGTAGCTGTCATTCATACTGATGCCTTACAATGAATCCGTTCACATGGCCATTTGCATACTACTCATAATACTATGAGGTATGTTTACTTTTGACAATTTTTGGAGTTTATGAACTTAGATAGGATGTCAGAGATAGAATACAGAGAGGGACTTAGGACCACTTGTCAGAAATGACACTTTATAAGCATTTCTTATAAAATTATATGGAATAAAAAGTAGTAGATACATTTGCTCAGCTAAGTCTTTTTAAGTCTTCAGAATAATTTCAACCATGTGACATGCAAAGACACACATAGAAACACAGGTACAGACTGCCCCAAGCCTATTTAATTTCCGACTATTGATGACTTTAGAGGAAGTTTTACTAAAAATCAAAAGTTAAATAGTTGTCTAGGAGCTGTTAATGTGGTCTGGTAATGTAGGCCAACAGACAGCATGCAGCAGACAGCATGCAGCAGACAGCATGCAGCAGACAGCATGCAGCAGACAGCATGCAGCAGACAGCATGCAGCAGACAGCATGCAGGGTTAAGTGGCTTCTCACAGACTTTACCTGTCCTCTGCACTCTTCTTTCAGCTCCCCTAAAATGAGATCACAATAGGAATGACTGAAAATCTAATGAATAATCACAAATAAGTTAAAATGTTTCAAACATTAGAGAAAACAATAGCCAGATCTTAGCTAGCCTAAAAGTGCCAATGACAAGAGAATGCTTAGCTTTCTGGACTTGGAAGACTTTCAATGTCCAGTCTCGATTAACTGGAGGATGCCCACATGGTTCCTTTCTAAAAATATGTTTTTGAGACAGGGTCTCACTGTGTGGCCCTGGCTGTCCTGGAGCTCATTATGTAGATAGGCTGGCCTTGAAGTCGCAGAGATCCGTCTGCCCAGCTTATTCATTTCTTACAGGGTATCTTCACAGTAAGGCAGGTGAGTTTCAGTGACACGCGCAGGCTCTGGTTGGGCAGTGAATGTCTCTGCACACCTATGCACACAGGCTTCTTTCTGTATAGACACAGTGCTGCTCCTGAAGCCCCCAGATCTTATACTCTCCTCTCGACCTGTGATCTCAGTAGACTCCCTTTCCTTGTAAGGCACAGTTGTGCACATCTTCCTCTTGTAGTGCAGTGGAGCGAGAGACAGAGTAGATGGTCAAGGTGGAGTCATCTTCACGGGACGAGGTGAGAGAGCACACAGAGCACATGCGCACCACAGTCTTCCTCCCCCATGGTGTCTGCAGCATTGTGCTGCATGTTGAAATGCTGCTGCTTTCCAAGAGCTGCTCAGCTGACCATGCTGGCTGCCAGGGATTGATCGCTGTCACTTTGTCACTTTTTGTTTTGTTTTGTTTTGTTTTGTTTTTGAGACAGGTTTTTTCTGTGTAACAGCCCTGGCTGTCCTGAAACTCACTCTGTAAATCAGGCTGGCCTCAAACTCACAGACATCTGCCTGCCTCTGCCTCTGCCTCCTGAGTGCTGGGATCAAAGGTGAGCGCCACCACCACTCTTTTAGAGAGCCTCATATGGTTGTTCTTGTTACCTGTTTACTATGTGCATATGTTTACTGCTGTCCTGCTAAACTGGACAAGAGCCAAAGCTCTTTCCCAGAGATCCAGAGAGTGAGACAATTTGAGTGTAAGCTCCAGGCTCTCCACGTATGTGTCACATGAGTTTGCTAGCAATATGGGTCCTACCCTAGACCTGCTGAATTAGAGTCAACATTTTAACAGGTCTTCAAATGTACCTGTATCTATTCATATCATCTTTGATGTCTACCTTTGTTTTTTATCAGATATTCATCATTTTCTATTCTATCAGCCATAAGCAGTCTTTCCCTCTCTAGAAATGCCTAGGGTTTCTCATCACTAGTCTACAGGAACTCCTGATATGAGCACACCACTCCCATCGTCCTCTGTGGGACCTGAGTTCCATTACCTTCCGCACCTGAGGTGGTGGTCACTGAAGAGTCAGTGCAGGCCTTCCCCTCCTGCTCACTCCTTTCAATTGTCTGTCTGTCAGTGGAAGGAAAAAAAAAGGGATTAAGAAAAAAATTATATGGATAGGTATGTTACAGAAGAAACTCTATACTCTAATGTTTAGTATAGTGAGCATGTAAAATATTTTCAAGGTTCTGAATATTTGAAAAACATACATTTACAAAATTTCCTTGAAACATTTCAACAATTATCATTATGTTATAAAATATTATCATTATTTTTTAACAAGATCTCACTGTGTGGTCCTGACTAGCCTACAACCCACTCCATAGACCAGGCTGGCCTTGAACACAATGAGCTCCACTTGCCTCTGTTGGCATTAAAGGCATGAGCCACCATACCCAGCCAAAATCTTATTTTTAATGAGCTACCTTTGCAACTCCAGGAATCAAGGCCAGCATGCAGTGCTCACAGGTGATGTCCTAACTCCTAGGTACCCCTCACTATTTTTTTATTCTTGGATATTGGCAACATTCAATCCCCAGTTGCATTCTCTTGTTCCTCCTCCCTCTTACAGACCTTTCCTCTTTACAAATAGCCCCCATCTACTTTCATATTTTGCTTTTGTTTTTTTAAAAAATATTTTAATTACATTTATTTATTTATTTATTTATTTATTTATTTATTTATTTATTTGGGATGGCATGTAGAGATCAGAGGACAACTTGGAGAAATCGTTTCTTTTCTTCACTATTGTTCCTAGGGATGGTATCCAGGATGCCATGGCTTTGTGGACACTGTCCTTACACAGGGCCATCACAGTATGCTTTCTCCTGTTGTCAATAACGCTCTTTTTTTCTTTGATCATTTCTTTCTTTTTTTGTGTGTTTCTCAGTTTTCTTTTATTGAAAATTCATGCAATATATTCTGATCACAGTTTACCTTCCCACATTTCTCCCAGATCCTCTATACCTCTCCACCCATCCAACTCTAGGCCTCCTTGCTCTTTCTTTAGAAAACAAGCAAAAAGAAATAATTAAAAGAACAATGAAAAAGCACAACACACATATACAGACAAAACCCCTCCCCTCCTCTGTCTCTCTCTGTTCCTCTTTTTTTCTTGTTCCCTCCCCACTATCTCAATAGCATGAAGCATATAGAGATAAAACTTGGAAAAATACTGAATAAACCAGAGTAAAAAATTAAAAAAGTATTTACATGTAAAATTTTAATGTTTTTCCTGTGCAAAGATTAAACTGACTATCTTGAATTGTGTGCTTCTTAGAGCTAAATGCTGATGGCGTGAATATTAATAACACATTATTAAATGATGAACACTCAACAAAATGCATAGTGCAGACAGAAAAACACGTGAGCATTAGCACATCATAGCAAGTGCTATTAGAGAAACCTTTTTACACTGCATTGGAGCTTGAAGACAATAGGTAGTGTTTTTTTTCCTTTATTCTGTATGTTAGGTGTTTTGATTATTCCTGGTGCACAAAAGGACCTTGCGGACACATCCCCCATGGAGGGATAACTACCTTAACTTAGAGACAGAAGAGAAGTCCTAGTCCCTACTTCAAATGACTTGACAGATCTACATGATCCCACCTGGATAGCAGAGCCCTACATGTGGAATGGGGGTGAGGGGATGGGAGGGGAGGGTGGTCAGGGTGTATGTGAGGGGTGAGAGAGTAAGAAGGAGGGAGGAAGGGAGGGAGGGAGGGAGAGGGAACTGGGATCGACATGTAAAATAAAAAAATAATTAAATAAATTAAAAAAAAATGATAGAGGCCCTCAAAGATGATGTGAGAAAAATCCCTTAAAGAAATGGAAGAGAAAACAAACAAAAAATTGGAAGAAATGAACAAATCTCTTAAAGAAAGTAAGGAAAGCCAAGAAAAAAACAAACAGGTGAAGGAAACAGTTCAAGACTTGAAAACTGAAATAAAGACAATAAAGAAAACACAAACCTAAGGAATGCTGGAAATAGAAAAACTGGGCAAATGATCGGGAACTACAGACACAAGCATAACCAACAAAAGACTCAGAGATGGAAGAGAGGATATCAGGCCCGGAAGATAAACTAGAGGAAATAGATTCATCAACCAAAGAAAATCGTAAATCCAACAAATCCTTAACACAGAACATCCAGGAAATGTGGGACACCGTGAAAAGGCCAAACCTAAGAATAATAGGCATAGAGGAAGGCGAAGAAGCCCAGCTCAAAGGTGCAGAAAACGTATTCAACAAAATCATTGAGGAAAACTTTCCCAATTTGAATAATGACATGCCCATGAAAGTACAAGAAGCACACCGAACACCAAATAGACCAGTCCAAAGAAAAAAAGACCCCTCAACACATAATAATCAAAACACCTAACATACAGAATAAAGAAAAACAAAAACAAAACAAACAATAACAACAACAACAACAAAAAAAAAAAACCCACTACCTATTGTCTTCAAACTTTTTTTTTTTAAAATCTAGGTTTCACATGAAATATTTGCTTTTCTAAGCCTGGCATTTATCAGTAAAGATTATGATGTGCCATTTTCTTGTAAATGACATGATTTCATCCTTTATGATGAAGCCATTTTGAATTATTCTGCAATTAAATATTGATATCACTTGTATCCTGCTATTCCTGAACCCACCACAGTTCTTTACTTCCTGGTTTCTGCTATCTACTCTGGGTTATACTTGAATCTGAAAACATGGAGCTAGGAACCACAGATGAGAGAGAATGTGTAGTAGCATTTGTCTTTCGGAGTTTGGATTATGTCACTCAACATGATTTTATCTGGTTGTGTCCATTTGCCTTCATGTTTCATGCTTTCACTGTCCATTTGATAGCTGAAGGACACTTAGGTTGTTTGCATTCGATAGGTATTGTGAACAGAGCCAACAGTGAGGATGGCTGAGCGAGTGTCTCTGGAGCAGGGGGTCAAGTCCTTTAGGTATTTGTCAAGGAGTATTAGAGCTGGGTCATATGGTGACTTATTTTTAGTCCATATTGATTTCCAGAGTGGCATTTCCACTAACAGTGAATGAAGGTTCCCTTTCCTCTGCCTGTTCCTCCAGCATTTGTTGTCAGTTGTTTTGTTGATCTTAGCTGTTCTGACTGGAGTAAGATGAGGTCTGTTATTTAGATTTGCCTTTCCCTAATTGCTAAGGATGATGAACAGCATTTGAACATTTTTGTGTCTTTATCTGAGAGCTCTCTTTTCAGATCTATAGCCTCCTGTTTGAATTTTTTTTTTTTTTTTGCCTCTTGAGTTCTTTATATATCCTGGGTACTAATCCTCTATCAGATGAATAACCAGAAAAGATTCTCTCCCATTCTCCTCAATGATTATTTTCATAGCTGTAAAAGAAGCCTTTTAGTTTTAGGAGGCCCTATTTGTCAATTGTTGGCCTTGATTTCTGGACAAATAGAGTCCTATTCAGAAAGTCCTTTCCTATCACTATATCATATAGGGCACTGCCTGTTTTCTTCTAGCAATCTCAGTGTTTCAGGTTTCACATTGAGGTCTTCATCTTGTTGCAGTGAGTTTTGTGCAAGGTGACTAATGGCAGGTCCAACTTCATTCTTCTGAAAGTGGATCCCTAGCACCTTTTGTTGAAGATGCTGCCTCTTCTCTAGTAAATGTTTTGGCATCTCTGTCACATATCAGATACCTGGAGTCATGTGTAGTCATGCCTGAGTATTTGTATTTTGTTTCAGTGGTTGACATGTCTTCTGTGCCAGTACCATATTTTTATTACTATGGCTCTGTAATATATCTTGAAATCTGGAATGGTAATCCCTCCTCTATTTTTCTGCTTTGGCTACATTGGGTCCTTTCTGGTTCCAAGTAAATTTTAGGATTTGTTTTTCTTTCTATTTTTGTGGGAATGAGAGAGACATTTTGACTATGCTTACATTGCATCTGCAAATGACTTCTGGTAGAATGGCCATTTTTACAATATTAATTCTACCAACCTATGATTACAGGTCTTTCCATCTTCTAGTGTCTTCCTCAATATCTTTCTTCAGAGATTTAAGATTTTTCATTGTAGAGGTCTTTTACCTCCTTGGTTGGGTTTATTCCTACTTTATTTATTTATTTATTTATTTATTTATTTATTTATTGAGGCTATTGTGAATAATAGTGTATCCATGATCTCTTTCTTAGCATGTTTGTTGTTGGTGTATAGAAAAGCTACTGCTTCTTCTAAGTTGAGTCTGTACACTGCTACATTGCTGAAAATTGTTCATTGTTTCTAGAAGTGTTCTGGTGGGGTGTACGGATCTCTTAGGGATAACAGCATATCATCTGCAAATGGATAGTTTGACTTATTTTCCCACTTGTATATCTTTAATTTCCTTGTGCTATTGCAATAGCTTGTGCTTCAAGCACTGTCTTGAAAAGAAATGGGACACTGAACAGACCAGTCTCATTCCTGACTTTAGTGGGATCACTTTGTGTTTTTTTTTTTTTCCCACTTAGGATAATGTTGGCCATGTATGTCCAGACTTTTCTGTTGGAGCATATTTCCTCCAGTCTTACTTTCTTTAGAGCTTTTATTGTAAAGCTTTGTTGCATTTTGCCAAATGCTTTTTCTGTATCCATTAAGTCTATTTGAATGACTTTTCACATTTATTGACTTATTTTGAACCTGAATTTTTGGGATAAAGTCAACTTGGGATAAAGTCCCATCAGGTCCTACTGCTTCAGCCTCAAATGAACACTAAGACACTTATATTAGTAAACTGTTGGCCAATGGCTAGGGGTTCTTACTAGCTAGCTCTGTCTTAATTATTAACTCATTTCTATTTATCTAAGTATTTCTATATGGTATTATTTTACCAGAGAAGGGTCCAGACCTGTTACTCCTTCCTCCATTACATGGTGTCTCTCGCAGTCGCTCTCTGCCTACCTTTTCCAGAATTCTCCTCATCACCTAGTCCTACCTATCTTCCTGCCTCCATTGGCCAAACTGTTTTATTCATCAACCAATAAGAGAAACATATATACAGAATGGCATCCCCCATCAGATCATGGTAGATGATCTTTTTGATATGTGC